TCTTTAGTCATCTGCCTTTCTCTGCACAGCTTGTGTTGCCTGAATCACATAGTTTGCATGAGACAAAAGAAAGGGAATAATCTTACAATTTGGGCAAATGCTTGAAATACAAATGCGAATTTCAATGGCCTCTAACAAAACAGCATACCATTTACACGCAAGACGAAATGTGATTTTTTTTCTTCCAGCCACAAAAGCAGTGTCCTGTAAGTGAGTGCAAACATTTTCCATCACAATCACTAGAGTGTCTTTTGTTTTGACTGGAGGTGAAGTAAACATGACAGGTCTTGGGTGGCTGTGTCAGGAGGAGAGCCAATATTGACTGATGTTAATTTGTTTTGTGTCCATGCTCTGATGTGTATCAATAGGAGGCAGAGCTAGGCCTCGGGATCAGAGCGTGCTCAGATTACCACCATGGTTAGAACTGAAACCTCATCATGCTTTTGACATCAGGATGCTCGGGCCACTGTCGACAGCAGACCCTTGTATCACCCTCCACCACTGTCAAAGCTTATTATGTGTCAGCTCTTGACCCCCACAAGACTGGGAATTAGCCAGTGCTGACAGATGACTGTCACCGCTGGCCATAGAGGGCAGTGGAGCTCATGTAGTTCCAGGAGGGGAAGACGACAACATGTTCACCGTGTTTATGGAGATCATAAGCTTAGGCACTTCATAATGGAGCTGTAAAATGACAATAACAAGGTACACACACACACACATAATCAAGTGTGGCACATTGACCCACTGAAAGATGGCTGTCCTTTTGATAAATAGCAAATGTCAGATATTTCTCAATTATTGACATATTTGATAAATGGAGGTGTGAAGAGTAAGGTTTAGCCTTGTGTATATATAGCCCACACAACTGCAAGAATACAGTGCACTTCAGAATTCTGTCAAAATCATTTACCACACAGAAAGTATTAAAAGTCATGTCTAGCTGAATTGTACATAACCATAAGAATATCTTTAATGGCCAGGGACAGTACTGGTAAGTACATCAGTACAGGTTCAACAATATGACATTGAAGCAGTAGCTGACGAATACCAGGGCTTTTCGCTAATAGCCTGTAGTATGTGCTGCAGTATTCACGGCTCCAGTGAGCCAAGAGGCTCATAGTCGGCAGAATCCCAAACATCATGACAACAAGCCATCAGTCATCTTCCCCCCGAGCTGCTGTGCACACTTTGTTTCCGGAGTTCTTACTGTGGGAAATGAGCAGGGTTAAACATGAAACAGGAGGAAGTGTTGGGCACGGCAGCCCCCTCTGTAATAGGCTCCTCGTTCAGCACGCTTCACTGCAGGAACACCAGAGCTGTGCTTTTTAATTCTTTCTCTTTAACATCCCCTGCGTGGTCACAAAGCTCAGAAGTTGACTGTGCATGCTAATCACAGTTAATAGTGAGATGCTCATAGAAATGGCGAAAGAGTAATATGGGGTTAATTTTCTGCAACAAATGATTTTCATTTTTATCTGGAAAAAAGAAAAAAAAACAACCAATGAGCAACTACACACAGTGGAATAGGTTCCTCACATCATCATGTTTGGACTTGACCCCGTCTCAGAAAATGGGGTTTTTGAAATGAATAATGTATTAATGCAGTTCTTTAAATGAAATGTAAGCATCTCTAAACTAATTATTCAGATACATTTTGAGATTTGTGGTGAGAAACTATTCTTCTAGTGGGCAACTGCATCAGTTTTTCTCTATTTATTGACAGGAACTGATAGATGTCTGATTGAACTGGTCCCTATAATTATATATATATATATATATATATATATATATATATATATATATATATATATATATATATATATATATATATATATATATATATATATATATATATATATATAGTGTTACAATATTTTCCTTGTGAATGCAGTGAAAACATAGGTGAAACTTAAGGTGACACCCTTGTGTGCATAGAGCCCCTCACCTCATCGCAGACACCTCCATCACCAACTTACCTTTTTATTGCCACCGATCATCCTTAACTGGGAAGCATTTAAAACGTCATTGATCTTGATAATGCTGTGCTGTAATATGACAGTAACAGTTGTATGAGATTCAGGAAGTCAAATTCCAAAGATTGATGAGTCGTAGCAGTTGAGTTATAATCCATCTACCTGAGTGATTCCCGGGCTCGGTTCCACATGAAGGAACAGACAAATAAATAAAACCCATAAAGGTGACACAGGAAATTGATACTTAACAATCATTTTGAGCAACAAGCACCTGGAGAGACTGGAAGGCAGTACTAACAACTATGGAGGGAGCTGTCCGAGAAGGTTAACAGGTCATAAAGGGAACAAAGTCTGCTACAGACCCCGTATTAAGGGTTCAGGGATATGCTCCACAAAGGACTTAGCTGCACTTGTGGGCTGTATTAGTATAACTGTATGCAGGATGTCTAAACGTAACTGCTGTCATTGTCATTCTAGGCAGACATGTATTTGACATGCATTTAACAATATATAATGGTAGAACAAATTACAATAAAATTTTGCATTATATTATGTCAAGATATATATATATATCTATGTATGTATGTATATATGTATGTGTGTGTGTGTGTGTGTGTGTGTGTGTGTGTATATATATATATATATATATATATATATATATATATATAGTGTGTATAGAGATAGAGAGAGAGAGAGAGAATGTGTACAATAATTTTACTTCCTGTTTGGACTGCAGAGTTAAAATACATTGGTGTATTTCTCTGTTACATATGAAACAAAGTAAAATTGTGGAAAACATGAAAACCTGTCATATGCACTAAATATATATTTTTAACACAAAGTAAGATATTGTTTGTTGAAATATTTGTATTGTAAAAAACATATATTGTGTTACACTTCTCATCAGACATCTGCGTTATTTTGAGGCTATGTACTCATGACTCTGTGGTTTTGTTTAGTTGCAGTTAAAGATCAAAAACACTGTGCGTTGGCATGGGAAGGCACAGAGGTAAGAAAGCCAAACCACAAATCAGAAAAATTTGGTTAATTGCCTTAGCACAAGAATTTTATCTTTTGAGTGGTCAAGCTGAAAAAGAATGTGACCTATGTGGCTTTGTAAGTTTGTTTAGTATTAAATTCCAGGGTATAAAAACAATTGACCATTGCTAATGTATCAGTGTCAGTGTGGTGATGATTCCTATTAGTTGTAGAAGCCTATCAATGTCTCGTTTTATGTTAAGTGTAGTACTGTCATGTTTACAGGGACTTAAGAACTCAGACTATCTCCAAAATCAAAACAGCTGCAAATGGAACAGTAGCATATCATCGAACAGTAAACAACATACCGCAAAATATTTGATGATTCATTGTTAACCACAACCAAAGCTGGTTTATGGAACCACAGCTCACACCATTTATCATTATTACTTCATATTTATGACTTTACTGCTGTCTTATCAAAGACTGGGGTGTAAGTAAAATCCACTTTGAACTCCTCATAAACAAACCATCAAATAATCAGGGGCACATTGGCCAAACACAAATTAATGACTTCATATAGATAATGTAACAGAAATCCCCTTATATGAGAACAATTCTATGTTAAGATGGAAGTCCCTATTGAAATAAGGCCCCCGGGGGCCTTCCCCTGACCCCCAAGGACACCCTTGACCTTCTCCACAGAATAACTGCACTCCAGTGTGTGGGTGCTCCTGGCTTTTAGTATTAGAACAAGTGTGTGTAAGGGTCTAGAGCTAAAGGTCCCATTGAGGCGCAGCTCCGTTAGTACCATAAATCACTCAGCATATACAAGAATCCAAAGAATCCAACAAAAACAGCCTGGTTCACAGATTCCCCCGTTCAATATTACATACAAATACATTTAGACTGACCTTTTTTTTTTAACCTTTTTTGAACTTTATTGCTTTTTATAAATTAGTTTATTACCAGCTCCCCGGTGCATATATTTTAAATTGTCCTGGCTCCGATTAGACACCTGCTCTAACAAGAGATCTTATAGAAGACAGAAAATTGTCTGAAGATATGCCAATAACAAATGGCTATGAATTAGAATAGTAATTTTATACAGAACCACTAGGGGAACTGTTCCCTTGTTCTATCTTTGGTTTTATAGCTGTCAGTACTTCTCAGTGACATCTCATTTACAGATATAAAACTGTCAGCATGTCCACAAATCGTCTGCCATTTTGTTTCATGTATTGATTTAAAGGCATATATTATGAAGCATAAAGAAGTGTGTGCGCTCCTTTATCATTTGTTGCGAAGTTGATGTCTATTTTGGAAAACCCCAGAGATACTGTGACCCACTTCTGTCAAATATGGCAAAAAGCACATAAGCATGAGAGTCTGATTTGGAAAGCGAAACCAAACAATAAAAATGATAAGAGGACTGTTTTTTGGGTTTTTTTGGCATGATTTTGTTTGTTGTAAAGAATTACAATGGAACAATGTCACAGTAGTCACCAGTTAAAACCATAGTCCTGTCAGTGTTCCTGCAGATAATGCTGTCATTAGTGATTGTGCCTGTCTGGGCTGTTTTGGCCTGTGAGCCACTGGAAGGGCTCCTAAGTTATACAACTAACATGCCCCCTGAGAGGGAGGCCAGCCCTGACTTGCAGCAGTACAATTTGGCTATTGAAAAGGCAGAGCTTGTGAAGGAGGAGGCTGGAGATCTTGTCGTCATGCCCAGTGGGTTCAGAGCTTGTGGTTGGAGTGCTGGAAAGACCGCCTTGTCTCTTTGATTAATGGTGGTTCACTTGAAGGCAGGAGCGAGGGAGAGGCTTTGTGGCAAGACTGTGCAACTTGAATGCACAATACTTTGGAGTTTTCAATGAATCTAAAGCATTCTTTAATTTGATTACTGAATAATGTCTATTTTTTCACATACTCTAGACACCCTTAATCATGAAATATATGGAGAAAATGAAATTTTAATCAGTGCTGAACATATAGTGCCGGAGCTACAGCGTTCCCAAATACATTTATTAAGCATGTACAGGAGGTGACATCTCAATTAATCAAGAACCGCATCAAATAGCTGTAACAAAAATACATTATTAGTTTGAACATTCCACTGAAAAAACATTTTACACAAAATTTCTTTTCATTTACTGTGATGAAAAAGGTGTCTAATGTAACATTCACAGTATGAAGAATTCATTTTTAAGTGCTCAAGGAAACTTTAACTTAAAAACACAAAATTAAGAAACTTGAAATCTATGTACAAACATTGTTGAGAGTCTATTTCTGCGAAAGGGGTTTGTCACGCCGCCTCATTCCCATTACATTTCAGAATAGCCATTTTGATGAGTTTTTTCAGCTTTATTGTTGATATGGGTGTTTCACTGAGACATAGATGAATGCAAAGGGGGATATTATGGCGCTATAGTGCTTTATGGCCAGTTTAAAAGAGTAGTGGTGTCATGACTGTCTATAGCTGCACAGGAGGATTCATGCCCATTTTCAAAAGATAGCAGGTTGCAGTTCATATTAGGAAAGTCTCCTAGACTGCTCTGACCACTGCTGTGGGCCCCGTCATAGGAGCAGAGTGTGGATGGCATGGTTGCAAAGTTCAAAGAGTGAAACTCAGGTGAAGATGATATAGCATTTGGAATCTTGAGTGGACAAAAGCTGGACATACGCTGGAACTGGCCCCTTGTGAGTTTCTGTTCCTTCTTGTATCTCATCCTGCGGTTCTGAAACCAGATCTTAACCTGGCGATCTGTAAGTTTGAGCCCAGCAGCCATTTGCATCCTGCGTGGCCTGCACAGGTATGGACTGAAGTGAAACTCCTTCTCCAGCTCCAGCAGCTGGCTGTTGGTGAAGGCCGTCCTCTCCCTGCGGATGCTGTGACTGCCTCTTCCCAGAGGACCAGCCTCACTACTGCTGACTGGAACAAGGAGAACAGAGAAAGAGCAAGTCAGACATCTAACAAGTCTATCAGCCAGTAGAACCACTGTGGAGGGACTGAGAGCTGCAGTAATCCTCAACCAATCAACCAGAGACAGTGGGGCCCAGAGCTGTTCCTCTTCAGCCTAACACAGACACTGTACACGACTGGCTGTCTGTGGTGTGATGTGCTCAGGGAAAGTTCGCTCCCAAAGATACAGTCTGGGGGAAACATCTGACGCCACTACGCCGCAGTGACAGGCCACATTAATCACAGCTACACATGGAAGCAGGCCTGTCAAATCCCCATCTCAGTCATTTAAAAGGTACCTTGGGACCACCACTGAAAATAACCACCATTAGAGATTCCATTTGACATGTATATGAGCACTGGTGGGGCACTGTTGATAACAACAGCACCTAGCAGAGTTAATGGATATTAAAAAGGGCCTAAAGTGACCTTAGAGAGCAAGCATCACTCCTTAACTCAACTCCACTTTACTGGGGGCTGTGGGCTTCCTCTGTTTATATGAGTGGCCAAGAAGTAAAAAGTGTAGTTTTTATAATTGATCATTTTGAATGTTGTCACTTGTTCTATTTTAACATCATTCGACCAGCAGATTAAAATATCAAGGCAATGGCATTTTTAACTGTGCTGTACCTTTTAGAATCAATTATAAAATTCAAATAATTTATTTAAAACTTCTCAGAGGAGAAATACATCTTAGTAATGTCCTTCTAATAAATAATGCAAGTGACACAGGTGTGCAGCTCTGACTGAAGCAGAGCAGACTTTAGTCCAGGAGAAGATCAGATTTAAGAAGAGTAAATTCAGTGTTTAATTAGTTATTTATTAAGACCTAATGTCACTCTTTCTCCCAGTTTCTGGTGGAAATATATAAGTTAATTAATTAGTTATGAGGCATGCTGCAATATATATATATATATATATATATATATATATATATATATATATATATATATATATATATATATGTATGTGTGTGTGTGTGTGTATATATATATATATATATATATATATATATATATATATATATATATATATATATATATATATATATATATATATATATATATATATATATATATATATATATATATTTTTTTTTTTTTTTTTTTTTTTTTTTTAAGGAGGGGGTGCAAGGTTACCAGACTGCTGGGCGTCACTTGTCCGCGAATTCATCCAGGGAAAGATTAATCCTGAGTGGCAGATGGTGATGAGATTGCAGCCCGTGCTCCTGGCGTCCTTCTTGCCCTTGGTGTGGCACTGGGAGAGGGGTGGGCTCCGAAATTGCTCACCTGGGCTCAACCTGGAAGTTGCATGAGCAGATGAAGTTACAGTTAGTCCTGCATCTTGACCCTCTCCTCTTCCTCCTGCGTCATTGTAATGCACTATTGGCACTTGTCCAGAGTTCAAAGCCAAAGTGTTGCCATCAGCCTGCAATGGGAGGGAAGGAGGCAGGGGGTCCATGACTTCAACTCGCCAGAAGTGTTTTAAATCAAATCTACAGTCCTTTGTCTGCATTAAAGATTCTGTTCTGTGTTGCCTGATTACAATTAACCTGATTCCAAAAAGGCGTGTGGAAAAGAGAACTTGAACTAACTATAGGTGGAACATTTGAATAATATTTACCAGAAGGGGGCCGGTCACGTGTGACTCTCCTCCAATGGTTGCAATGTGGAGTTGCAAAGTAATCCTCCATGCAACTTGGGGCGCGGAGAAGCTCGTCTGATAAATTCAGACAACTCTTCTTTTAGGAGCCGATGACTTTCTCTACCTATTGAAAGAAAAACAGAAAGGAATATGAGGAGACGTCAAGAGCCATGTTTTTGTGTGGGAGAAAAGGGAGGTTGGTTGGTTTGTACGTAAAACTGTAATGGCAAAGGCGCAAATATTAGAACGCGCTGGCGAAAGCAGAGCCTCTTCATAAGTATTCATTATGCTTTTCCTATTATTTTAAGTAATATCGCATACCAGTGCCTTTTTTCAAATGCTCAGCTTGTCTGATATGTTTTACGTTTCGCACCTACTGATTATCAGTTACTATGGTAAGCATAACAACCCCGGATATTAACGCGTTTTTGTTTTTGTTTTTTTGCTGACGATGCTCTTAAAATGTCGTCTTAATTACATCGCTGTACTTTTGTATCACCTCATTAGTCATAATAAAAGAACTGTTCAGCTCTGCGGTTGTCTCTTCTCTTGTCTCTTCGTTTGGTTTCTGTTTTCTGCGTGCTCTTATGGTGGTACCTATGCCCAAAGAAAACATTCGAGCTATTTTTGGATAAGCCTACTCGCTCATTTAACCGGTCACTTGAAATCGGCGCGCTTCCCTTAAAATAGCATATGCTTGTAACTGTCTGCGCGCAATAGCAGCTTAATGGGATTCACAGGGAGCGGTCAAACAAAGGCTTTGACAGTCATTGCCACAGAAAGACAAAGGAAGCAATCATTGCTGTTTTTTCAACGCCAACACTCAACGCACGTGCATTAATCAGGCATCACTGTACAGTATCAAGTGTCTGTCCATATGCGTGATGAGAGCGCATTTTGGCGCAAAACCTTCCCAATGGCATATGCTGGGCTATAGGCTATTTTTGGTAAATGACATACACTTCTATTTTCAGTTACATGGTTAATGAAATCATTATAATATTTCAGTTGTACTATAGCCTTCGAAATGCGTAAGGCCTAGTATAATATAATATCTTGTGATAGTCTTAAATTAAGCAAAATGAAGGAAAAAAGAAAAAACAACCCAACAAGTAACATTCCCCATTTGATGTGAAATATAAAGCCCAGGACACTCTCTACACTGAATATCCACAGGACATGTAGATTAAACCCACAATGCATATCTTACAAGTTATGCACGAGACCCACGTGTGGCCTATAACATAGTTACTCTTGAAAAAGCACCTCATAAAGCCACCGCTTAATTCCTGCAAATGTATGCAAAGTGCATTAATAAGCAGAATAATGAAGCTTTCAACATTTTTACACAGTGTAACAAAAAGGGTCATGTTAGCATATTGTGCGGCATGCTCTATCTTGAAGAGTTCCTATGTTTCACTACAACAAAGCTGTCGAGAAGCCTCTCTTTAGGTGTCGTGTGCAGTGATGGATTATGCACTCATGGAAAAGGAGCGGTGCGCAAGAGCCGTTCTTCCCCCTTTTCTACCAGTTCACCTGAACTTATGCCCGAGAAATGTCAAAAGGATGAAACGTGTGTGAGTGGTAAATGTAACCTATAATGTTCTGTTAAATTATTGATAGAGAAATAGTACATTATTATTATTATTATTATTATTATTATTATTATTATTATTATTATTATTATTATTATTATTAGTGTTATTATTATTCAAAGTGATTACATTGTTTGTTTCCCCCCCTATTTCGCACCCTTGAACTCACTGCATTGGAGATAGGATCTATGATATACTAGCTCAGCAAGACCATAATTTAGCTCCTCTGCGCCTCCACCACAATTCTCCGTGAACTCTGTTTGAACTGCCTCGCTGACTATAAATCATTTTTTCTCTCTCACACAAAAGCGCGCCGGTCGCTCTGGGTGTCAACCCTTTTACAATTCCTCCTTACCTTCTGCGCTCTCGTGGCTCCTGACATAAACAAGCAAAGAAACCGTCGATAAACTTTTATTCCCCATTCCAATAACTTACAGTGGAAATGGCGAAGAAGAGGATGCAATGCGCGCTATGGGGACAAGAGAAACGCTATGTAGCTCTTATACAATAGTGTTTCAGTGCACGGCTTTATTTATCTGTATATGCATTCATTTGGAGGCTGTGCACTGCAGAGATGTGACTGGATGTGCACAGGGGACGAAGGTGGGCAGATAAGAGCAGACTGAGGGAGAGCTGCGAGGAGACGTTAATGGGCAGAGGATGCTGTCGGTTAAAACGGTGCATACAAATGGCGCTGTCTTGGCAGAGCTTGCAGAAGATTTATGGGCCCAGTGCCCTATATTGCTGTAAACAATGCAGACTGAAATGAAAGGACTAGAGTTTGCAGGCTGCACTTCATAAGTGGGGAAAAGACACACATTGTCAATTCCCTGAACATGCTTTGGCCTAAACAGTGAATTGAGAATGAAAATGTATGTTGTCCTGCATGGTCCCGTACCAGTGGGGCCTTGATACAATGAAGCTAAAGGAGCACTTTATAAACTTCGCTGGTGTCGCAAACTGCTTTCAAAATTAAAAGTTAAATTTGTTTAAAAACCATTGGGAGCGTGATTTCACCTTGGTCAAGATTTTTATAGGTGGAGTAAGCTTTATTAACAACTATTACACTATTATTGACAAAGTATTTGCAGATGTCGCAGTATTAATCAAAAAATAAAAATGCGTTTTTTGTTTTTTTGGTATGTTTTTTGTTTCCAATAGGCCCACCAATTTTCACAAGTTACTTCTACACTGCTGGTATATGTTTTATACAATTTTCAACGCATAGCACTAACTCAAATAGATAATTAAAAACTAAAAATAGCCTACTAACAGCTTGCAAGGTAAAAAGTAGTCACCCGTGAACAGAACCACTCCTTTTCATTAGCCTATTGTAAATCCATATTCGAGATTCTACTCCCATCAATCCTTTAATGAGAAGTGAATTACATGAATAACATAATCATAACTCAGTAGATAAGAATTGAAGCCACACTCAGCTAAAAAAAAAAAAAAAAAAAAGGTAAAAAAAAAAAAAAAAATTAAAAACTGCAACTTAAACTTAAAAAAAAAAAAAAAAAAAAAAGCCTACATAAATAACCAATTACTTGCTGACATATAGTAAGCAGAAATACATGTAATAGACGTCTAAAATGCGACACTTGATCCTGGCTTTAAATGTTGCACAGCTCCACAGTAAATCATTTGAACATGTCTGAATAATTGTATGTAAATGAGTTGAGTCCAGGGCCAGAAGAAAAGACGCGGTGCATCTGTTGGTGATGGAGAGAGATTTACGGATCTCTGACACACCCACCGCTGGTCAATGCGAGGCAGAGGGAGTCTGTCCCTAGAAAATAGCTTCGTGACCCCTGTTTCAACTCTGCGCCTTTATGCAGCTGCCATGGCTGCTTTTCATGCACACTACAGACCAACAAAGCACTGGCCTAGACCTTTCATTACGAACCGAGTGAGTGGACGACACTCACCTGAGACGAGTGGACACTGTTTGCACTTGGGCAGGTATTGAAACAGCTGATTACTCTGCCTTTCATCGCTGTCTGTGTAAAGTTTGGAATCTATCTGGAAGACTGCTGGGGCCTTAGTGCACATAAATCACTCAGTGCCCAAAGAATGTTGAGCTGAGAATGCAGTGTTTGGTTGGTGAAGGAAATGCCAAGGTATTAAAATTCACAACTTCACTTTATTCCTTTGAGAAGGAAGTTAAAATAATTCAGATTTTCTAACATTACTATTGAAAAATTCAATACAAGTCCCCAAACTATCTTGTATGTCTTCTAAACGTATGCTTGAGATATCTCAAATACAGATCATACGAAGGACATACACACTGTGATACCTCAGTAAATATGAGTCTTTGAAGCAAATAGCCTCAAGTCTGATATTAAAACACCAGCTATTACTGATTTATGGGTGACACTGGTGACACAAGCGTTTGTTTAAGGAACTTTAAATCACATCTCATTTGCTCCCATAATAAATTCAACAAATCTCACGTCAAAAGCAAGCCTCTGATAAAAAGAGGAAAGTGCGCCAATGTGTCTACTTCTACTTGTACTTTAGTTACAAAGGTGTCTCCATGGGCCAGTCTTTTGTTCTGCTGTAACCTGAGATCCACTTGCTCACTTAGGACCATATCAGTCTGGAGTGACAGTGATGATAAGATGATAATTTAGAAAAAGAAAAGAAATCACAGGATACTCAACATGAGATCATTTTTTAGTAGGCCGACAATATTATTTTACGAAATCAATTTCGTATTATTATTATTATTATTATTATTATTTACTTCTTTTTTTTCAACTGAATTGTTGAAAATGAAAACAGCAACTCAGTGATCAGATATGCTACTATGTTAACGTGCAACTCGAGGTTTTGATTCTGCCATCATCAAACCAAAACTAAACCAAATATCTGTGCTACGAGGGCGTGTGCGTGGGTCATAGCGGAGAGAGGATGGTTTTCCAGACAGTAGAGAACCAAATGGGAAAACAGAAAATGTGTCCTTGAGGTGAACTCGGCTTTCCCTAAACTTCGCTACAAAAACTTAAATAACGTTGCTTTGAGAGGCGCGACGTGTAGGCGACAGGCCTCCAATGGGAGTGGACGGATGCTGCGACTTTGGTGAGGACATTAATTTCTCTAATGTGTCCAGCTACATAAAGGCTCCAGGAATCATTTTTCAGCATCGCCTCAATGCCACTCTAACGCCTTTACAAAGTGTCACGTCCACTGCGGTCAAAAATCCACAGAGCAGTAGCCCCAAATTCAAAGTGGATGCCAACTTTGCAGAATATATAAATCAGGAAATATCTTGATATAAAATATTTGATATCTAAATGTTCTTCTGTCAGGATTGTTTTGTAAAATATACACAAAGCTGTGCAGTGAAAGATTAATGATCGAGAATGTCTCTTTCCTTTGTGGCCCAACGCCCCCCACTAGGTCGGGCATTTTATAGGGCCTATTCATGTCACTATTTCAATAATCTATCAAATTCTTGCGCGTCTCTAGCTCCAAGTAATGCTTCAATTTGGGTTCTTCAAAGATGTGTCCAAAAGCTAGAAAAATTGAGTCATGGGGTCTAGAGTAAAAAAAACAAACAAACAAAAAAGCAAAACAAAACTCTAAAAACATTGAGCATTGAGCGGAGTGCGTAATGTTTAGTGTAAACCATTCAGCATCTCCACAGTGTGGCTGCAAGGAAAAAAAAAAATCTCACGATGACGTTGCAGACCGTAGCATTTTTACTTGTTTCTTTTTAAGAGGGCTTTCACGTGCAGTGCTGAGACTGAGGGCAAACTGTACTGGGGAGGCATCGTGTGGAGTTTTCACGCACACCACTCTCCAGTTTCATCCTCCGCCTCCCCAACAAAAATAAATAATCATAATAAACTAGCATCCAGTCGTAATTCATCTGCATTATCACCTCTTTATTTTAATTTTATTTTACACGTCAAATCCGTCTACAAAAGCAGGACAGTGACTATGGTTAGAATTTAAAAAATATATTACAACAAATTATCACAATGTTCTTTCAATACATGCAGCTCTTGTTTTAGTGGCGGAGTATGGGCCTCAATGGGCTGTGTTAAGCGCTAATTGAATGCCCCTCAGACTGATGAGCAACTACTTCATTTTAAATTTAATACAGAAAAAACGAGTCCATAATTAACTCTTGTATACCCTGATGTATCCTGCAGTAGATGTAACAGTAGGAGATAATCCCAGGTTAAAGTGGTCAACAAGCCAACCCCAGCAGACCTCATCCTGCCTGGAATAAAGCTACGGCAAACGGGTTTAAAACAAGTAGACACACACGGTTTTATTGACCAGTATGATTAGCACAAATACACTAAACCCCGTCCATTGTATTTAACAATAAACGGTCTAAACACAACATCAACACCACAAAACTAAACTGAAATGAAAAGGCAGTATCTGAAATACACGAGGTAAACCACACATTAACTTCAAGATCAATGGTGTGTATCAGCTTCATACCAAAAATAACTATCATTATATTGATTTGCTTCCAGTGTTTGAAATAAATAGATTGTGCATTTCACCTTGGGCAGCAGGGCAAAAGATTGGCCCACAATAACATTCTGATAAAATTTGTCTTTTTTCCTTCATTCAAAACATTTTAATAAAAACATTTTAATTGAACTTCAAATAAATTAAACCCTGTGTCACGTAAAAATAATTAATCGGTATTCGCAGTAATCCATGCTATATAACATGCATTTTATATAACTTTGGACTTAAAGGAAACCGCACAAGATAGCTACCAAACAAAACGTGTCATAGTTCTATAAATAAGAGTCTGTCACGGCGTCGTGCTGCAGCTTTATAACCTGGTAATGTCCTCTCCGTGCTGTGCGCTCAGTTCATCCGCACTCGAGTTAGTGGCCGAGGCTGCAGTCACAGCGGCGGCCGCTGAACCTGAGCTGGAGCCTGATGATGATGAGGAGCGCACTTTGGTGTTGGGCAGCCTGTGGTCCTTTTTCCATTTCATTCTGCGGTTCTGAAACCAGATTTTAATTTGCCTCTCGGACAACACCAGGGTGTGTGCGATTTCGATGCGCCTCCGTCGAGTTAAATAGCGGTTATAGTGGAACTCCTTTTCCAGCTCTAAGACCTGCTGCCGGGTGTACGCTGTCCGAGACCGCTTGGGCTCCGTCCCATTATATCCCGAGTTCACTGCAAAAAAGAGAAGTGCAGAAAATGGAGGAAAGGATGGGTAAACGAGAATGACTTTAACTGATATGTGCAAAGAGATTTATTGCATGGATGTTTAGCTGTTTGAGGAATTGTAAAGAAGTTCTCCGCGTAATGAGAGGACCCTCACATCAAGCAATCAGCTAAATTATTAATGCAAGATTACAAAGCTAGTTTTTTTCTTTATTTCTACCCTCTCTCTCTGACTATGGTGCAATACATAACAGCAAAAGCCACATGGCGATACGGCTGCCCTGAGTATACCTCAGCTATAAAATTTATGGTGGGTGTAATTACCAATGCCGAGTCGTAAATCCGCCTCAATTGTGCCATTTCAAAGGCTTCCCTGCTATCGGAGCAGGGGCTGGCAATGAGCTGGGAGTAAGAGGCACATAGATAAAAGGAGAGAAGGAACATGAACACACAAGTTGCCTACCAGTGCTGACGTGAATCTTTTTCATCCAGGGATACACCACGGGCTGCTTGGAGGACGCTGTGCTGTTGGGATGCTCCGGCGTGGCTTGGTTGCAGGCGGAGGTTGCGGCCGGCGGGGTGGCAGGGGACATGGACAACTGTGGGGTTTCACAGGATGCGGGCTGCCCTTTACCAGAGAGCAGGTGCGCAGAGTGGGCTATTCCATGTCCCCGTGGCGTGTCAGGTTCTGGGATGCTTGCACAGTTATACTGGCGCTCTTGGTAGCTCGCCCGCGGAGGTGGATATAACTCCTGGTGATGATGCTGGTAGCCAGTGTCCCTCGCGCGGCTGTAATATTCTGGACTATGCTCAGGGATGTAGTTATTTTGCGAATATTCCTCGCATGGAGGAAATTTCGGATCAATGTAGTTAGACTCCATCAAATACGAGCTCATGATCATTAATTTCTGGAGTGGAAAATAATTTTTCTAGCTTTGTCGTTTTTCTGCTCCATAAAGCCCTCCTACTTGCGAGCAGCCCTGTAAAGTTACTTTTACCACGTGACCAAGTGGCCCAATAGCAGAGTCAGAGGTAGTTCCCGGATAAGGAACCAGAGGTATTTCATACCTCCAGTCGCCATTGTGGGTACAATGCTACCTCTCTCTCTCTATCTATCTCTCTCTCCTCTCTCTCTAGTTGTGTTACCACAGCCATTGATCTTGGGGACAAAACTAGTAGCTAGTTGCTGACCATGGCAAAAATAAAACAGGCAAAATCCTATGGACTCAATTATTCACAGGGACAATAGGTGATACGCCAAGGATAAGATACAACAATGGAAGAGCTATCATTTTGGAAGCTTGGCACCTAATACAAAGGTTACCTGCTAATTAATGAACATGCAGCCTTTACCATTAGCAGTTCAAGTGTGAAACATCAGTTAGTACCGTTAGGATACGGAGCAGTGGGTTGATGTCCTCTGCCTATGTGTTGTGTTAATGTCAGAGCGCATAGCTACTGGAAAAAGCTTTGTAAGAACTTGTCACTGAGCTTGTAAATCAGCTTTGAAAGGCAAACAAGCTGGATCAAGCTGTAATCACAGTGCTATTGAAACAGCACCGTTTGTTTACATCACTGCCACACTTCAGCCTAGAACATAAACTAGTTTGTTAAAACAATATTGATCCTAAAATATGGAGTTGTAATCATTTTTCACTGATATCATCAGATAATAATAGTAGGTTGTATTTTGCTTCACCAGGAAACTGAAAAGTTTTGTTTTTTTTAGGACATGAACAGGATAAACAGTTTTTTATCAATCTATTAATTTTGTAATTTCTGATCCATCCTGCTCAATAACATGTGGCAGAGTGAACTACAAGGCTCTCTATCATCCGTAGCTGACCCCATAGGCCAGGACACTGTTCTGTGAGATAACAAAAGAGCACACTGTTAAGAAGAGCTACTGACTCTAGTAGGCCTATGTGGAGATAAAACATAAAAACAAGAAGTAGAAAAATCAAGTCGATGAAAAAAATGTTTTTATATTTGCCTTTGTTTTTGTACATTTCCCAATTTACATCTTCATTTAGCTGCTAAGAAAGACTTGCATTGTTAAAAGTTAACAGCACACCACCAGCTGACTTGTAGTACACTAAAGCCTCTAAGCAGTGCAAAAGTCACTGGAGAAGCACAGAGGCACAGCAATTAAATGGCCTTAAAAGAAATAGGCTATTAAATTAAATGAAAAAAATATTGTTTGTGGCACGTCTATGGTACTGAAGCAGTTTGTTTAATCATCTTTGCAGACTTTTAGGTGGATAACATTTGACACTAACTTTATAGGAATTTAACTTTTAACATTCAAAACATATATTTTCAAGCAGATGACTATCCATATGTCACAGTGTTCTGAAGCTACTGTTGGCATGTTTATTCCACATAAAGATTACTAAAGAGGTGGTAATTACTGTCATGTTAACAGCTCTCATGCCTCTGCAGACACTCACAAGAAATATTCCTGAAATAAATATCTCCAAATACCCCACGTGCCTGTTAACTGTCCACCAGCATCGGATTACAGTTTAACTGGGTTATTTCTAAAGCAATAATTGCATAATATTGTTTCAAACGATGTATTTCTGAGCTGGGCTGTTTGTACAGAATGCGCACGACATTTCTATTACCCTTTGCAAGGATGTTAGAGGCGTTTTATAGAGCAATAAAAGCTGTAAATCAGTCACTTTAAAACGACCTCTTGTTCCTAACGTGTTTTACAGGGGCTGACACGGGAGTTGCCGCAGATTCTGCGCGTGGGTCTGCTCTCAGTCCAATATTAGACAAAGTTACTTCATAATCCTGTTTTAGGCCAGATGCTCTGCTTGAAGTGCACAGAAGAAGATGCAAGAAGTCTTGTGGCGGGGGATTTCAGTTGGCCATGTATTCCTGTAGATACGGATTTGCGATTAATGAATTTACACAAATTCGGTTCTACAGGGTACATATAGACAACTAATGAGTTTAACGATAGAGCGTGATCTCAACAGCAAGAAATGTAATAAAAGACTTAAAAATGCCCAGGTTTAGTATGTGCGCAAAAGCGATGAACAGTATTCAAATGCACTCGAATCTTAGACATCAAGATAGTTAATAGGAAGAAAAGATGAGAGATTCTCCTTTTCAGCATGCACCTCAGGTCCATAAGCTGTCTGCTGTATGAATATTCAGTCCCAAACACGGCGCGTACAAAGGGACAGCGTGACAGGCCGCATGAAAAATAAGTTTCTATTGTTCTCAACCATTTCTTCTGCTTGCCATTACCATACTGACCGCTCGCTAACCCTTTTTCCTGCCACTATGGAAGCTAATGAGAAACCAAGGATGAAAAATCACAATATCAGACATGCGAGCTGTTTGGGAGAGGGGGTTATTAAAAACAGCAAACATGTTCAGATTGTGAATCGATGCTATTGATTACAGTGGAAGGAAGAAACGAGGGAGCAACTTCAGGCATTGTCAATAAACATCTATGTCTTCATATTTCTCTGTGCGTCAATACCACTGGTAGTAGGAAATGCCCAACAAAAGCTGCTGAAAAGTTTTATTATTGGTAAAAATAAGCAGCACGCGTGCTAAGAAGCGGCACACACCTTCAGTCCGTCTGTGCTCAAAGACGCATTTTAATATTAGTTAGACAGGCTGACCTGCGGTTCACCCTCGCGTTTGACTGCCTCCAATAGTTCACTGCCAGAGATTATTGATGGAGGGACAGCAATGAATTCTTTCTCTCCATAAATGACTTTCAGATCGTGCACCTAGTTCAATAACTAGTTATAATGTAGAAGTGCAAAAAATTAGACCCTCGGGCGAACTAATTTGATGTTTCATTTGTTCATTTGAAAAATTGTTGAACTACGTCACTTTTTGTGCTCTAATCGTGTTCACCCATATACAACTACGACACCGGGAATGTTCTGGTTTTAATTTGAGACTCAACAGTAGCAGTGGAAGTCTAATAACTGCTGTAGCCTAATACTTGACCTGGATGCAACAACATTCACTCCCAGACGTACAGCGCACACATGAAGCGCTTTTAATCAAACCCTTAACCTAATAGCCTCCGCACGTTTACTCTCAGCACGTCTTGCGTCCGGTGTGAATAAAAACATTTAATGAAATGCAGGCTGACTGGGGACGAAAGGTTTAAAAGAAGTTATAGAACGCGCCACAGTATAAATATGTCATTGTTTACTCATTATTTGAATATAAGTTAGGGTCACAATAAAGACTGGCTCAGTTTTTCAGAATTGTCACTCTTTTAACTAACTTAACATGGTTATGACCTTAACGCTGTCAAAAGTTGGTTTTGGAAATGCTAGAATTCCAGTAAAATTGAAAGAATATGAGTTGTTCGATAGAAAATTGAAAATGCATTAGAGGCATGCTTATAGTCGGTACAAGGTTAGTAATAATAGCCATGTCCCGTGGATTTGGTGTGCCAGACTTACAAGGACATCCATGGAGCCGTCTTTGGAACTCATCTGAAAAACACAAAAGGAAATATATATATATATATATATGTATATGTAATCAGGATGCTATAAGAACATGCATTTTGCATTATGCATTTATCCAAGCATACAGGCCTAATACAAATAAATAACAATAAAACAAAGTGAACTACCTCGTGTGGCCACCACATTGACGCTACACACACAGATTCGTATAGATCGACTATCTGCAAACATAAATTATCTTTGTGCATTCAAAATCCAAAGAAATCTATCTAAGGCCTCTACATATCTCACAGTAATACCCATTACGGAAGCCCTACACAGGCCACTTCAAAGAAGCTGTTAGTGATTCAAGGACGTGGATCGTAATTTAGTTATTGCTGGGCGTAAAATTGCGGTGCACTCGTATGTTCTGCCCTAGAAACGCACTGACATGTGTGGGCTCCCGCAGAACTGGGACCAGCAGCTTGGGACGGGTCATTTTCAGACAGTAAAAGCAAATTTACTGTCGTTTTGGTATTTCCTCGGGCGATCTGACTGTGAATAGAAATCCCCCGACTACAGCGCGAGTGAATTATGTACCAGAGACAATAAAAAATCACGACTTTGTCTTCACATTGTTAATACGTTTTCCTTTGTGTACATTGAGGAAAGTATGGCTTATGTTTTACGTTTCTTATTTATTCAGAGAAAGCAAGGTTCCGTCGGAAATAACCCCTGCAGCTTTAATAATGACAACTTCCCAGGTCAAAGAAAGGACTACAAAAGCAATACGCACTTGACAGTGACAACTGATTCTTGAACTTCTGCATTGTATTACCTGACAATTTAAAGATTAAACATGATGATGATGATTGGTTTATGTGCCTGGCACAAGGGTGTAATGCCCGCAGTGTAGTGGTGTCACACAGTGCCCCCTATTGGAGGTGTAAATGACTCTTCTGTGAGCAGGCGGTGGGATGCCAGAAGTCAACACTGGCCTCCTTTTACCCACTTCCTTAATGTGATCATTGGGTAAATATAATCTGATTTTAGGGCACGTGTTACCTGAGATGGGCTGTTCTGGCAATGGAAGTTGCATTTAAAAATCAATTTCCCACTATACACTGCTGACGTGCTGCATGGTGCTGTATCTTGAAAATGGGATTTGTCATGGACTTGATTCAAAAAGATGCAAAATAGCGAATCCAGCAGGCCTAAATCAAGCAAATGTGGACTATGTCAAATAAAACAAAAATAAATACACGCATTTTAGCTACCGTATGGGCCTACGCTGTTATTTTTTAAATCTGATCACACATTCAGATCGCACATTTTTTGTTAATATTTGGGTTAAATGTTGAAAACAAAATAGGAAACAAAAGTTTGGTTGGAAAAAGAGCAGAAAGAAGCGACGTCCTTTCTCGTTCGTTGAGTGCATTTTTGGAGAGGTGCACATTGCACCGATTGAACGACGCCATAATTGCACTGCAAAGTGACTTTGAGTTAAACGCATCTCGTGGCCTCTCCATGACCCCAACAGACAACAGCAGAGCGAGACATCAAGCGAAAGCTCTTTCTACGCCAAAGGGAAGGCTCTCGGACTGAACAAAAAGACAACCAGACTGCGTAAAATAACAATTTAAAACGATATCAGTTCCAACATTGTCTTTCAAAATGCAACAAAGGTTCAGGTACTAAAATGGAATGATTTGCATACATTTTCATGCTTTAATAATAATAATAATAATAAAAAATCAGAGCATTAAATGTGTTAACTTATATCTGATTTCAGTTCAGTTTAATTTTATCTTGCTGTAGATTAAATTGCGATTTGATCACAGCCGTTTAATTTGCCATGCTTAATAAATAATAATTATAATTGAATAGCGTTACTTTTTTATTTATGCAAGAAGGCGTAATAATTTCTAATTTGTTTTACCACCAATGTGACATAAATGTAGAAAACTCAAAATCTATTATTTTAATGCAAAATCATAAGGCATCTCCTTAAGATGCATTTTCAAGCCTGCAAGTTTAAAATAAACTTACTGCTGCATCTCCTGTCAGTTCTCCGCAGTGGTCACTGCACAGTCCGTAGAAATGTTGTGGGTCCTTTAGGCTACACAAAGCGCTTTCTTCCTTAGATAAGGCAAGCAGCTGCGATTCCGGACAGTTAAGATTATATATGATGTGTATATATCGAAGGTTTGTCAGCTCTTCCAGGCCATAAAACCCACTTAAATGACACCACGTGCTTCCTATGCACCATTCACAGACCCTGCTTGAGCCAATTGGCATATGTAACCTTGTAAACTTTAAAATACCCTAAAAGAAAGACATACAAAAGGGATTCGTTACTTTGTCCCGTATAAGGTTAGGTTCATCAGACCACAGGCAAATTGGACGCAGTGCTGACCACTATGAAGTTATATGAAGCTTTAGTACAAGGTGAGTTATTTTTTTGATACTTGAATTTAAAAAAACAAAAACAAAAAAAACATAATTGTTGTTATAATGTGGAGTACATTTTGAAATAACAGTTTTAATGGAGAATTGTTTTGTTTTTATATTATTGGCTAATAGTGGCACTATCAAAAAAAAAATGGCATCGTTAAGTAACCATAATGGCCTTAGAGGTGGCGCGCCATTGTGTAGGAACCGGACGCAGTGGTCTCACCTCTTCACGCTGTATTGTTTCAGGCTACTGTTCGCTTTCCCTTTTTATCCAAACAGGAAACATTGTCTGCAGGGGCTCTATAGAGGGCCAATAAACTGTGATGAGGGGCCTTCGCAGCGCGTCCGATAAAGAGAGACAGTTTTAGCAGTGGTATTGGCATCAAACGACACTTTATTTTCAACAGTAAATTTCTATCAGTCGTTTACTCTAGTGAATAAACCCATGAGCTGAACATTAATAGAGTATCAATTTCACATGACAACAATATCACTTACAGTATGTGGATCCCTTTTGGAATCATTGGGGTAACAACACTCGCGTCTAAACACACCCGAACAGAGTGTAGTGTTTTTAAACTGTGGGCTGTGAAAGTCTTTGCTGAACTTAGAAAAGTTTAATGATGAGGTGACACCGGCTCCTTAGCTCTTATCTTAATGACAATGAGGTTACTACTGATATTGTGCTGCCCTGCTTTTGCAGATTGTCCTCTTAGTGCTCTCAAGTGAGGTTATCATCGCATAGGCAGCAAATTAATTTAGAAATGTAAACCTATTGATCAAACTGAGTGATATTCAATACATTAAGTCCCAAACTGCAGCAAGTGACACATAATTGGTGATGAAGCACGCAGCGTAGTGTCATGATGTCATTGCTCCACAAGGTTCATCTGGAGGTCACGCGCCACTGTACAGCCCTATAGAGCGTGCGTTCAGTGCAGTTACTCTTTTCCTTTCTGCTTTGAGTCCTTCTTCCACTTCATGCGCCGATTTTGGAACCAGATCTTGATCTGCCTCTCATTCAGACACAAGCTATGAGCGATCTCGATGCGTCTGCGGCGGCTCAAGTAGCGGTTAAAGTGGAACTCCTTCTCCAGCTCCAGAGTCTGGTACCGGGTGTAGCTGGTCCTAGAGCGCTTCCCCTCCGTCTCTAAAGAGGCAGTGAAATTAGTTAACCTCAATTAGTACTGCACTGCTAGACAATGCACAGGAAACGCACAATTACTATTAAAGATAAGGGCCTGAAATGTTACCTTTAATGGTATCATTTCTTACTCGATAATACATAATAGTTTTTGAGGATGATTGGTATAATTTATAAATATACAATTTGTAGCCACACTCTTCCCCCTTTCTAAAAACACAATGAATTGACTGGTGATCGTGGAGCTTGCTTTTTGTATAACACACAGGCCTACTGATGCACATGCGTAAAATACTCTATTCCACATATAATGCCTTTAAAATTGAACCATTACTCCTAAATTTAAATTTAACTTCAAATGAAGCTCCAACGAAGGCCTGCTAACACAAGCGGGCCTTCTCTGAAATGTTTAATATCTCTGCTAATACCTGAGGTTGTGCTCAAAGGCTCATAAACGACGTGCTTTCGTCGATCTCTGTATCGAGCCGAGGACGAAGACGCAGTCACAGAATTAAGGAGCAAGTCTATTCAAATCTTTTCGAGGTGAAAAGTTCACGATTAGGTCAGGGCAGTGGTGTTTCCCAGAGTTCATCTTAAGGCTAGGCTTGTGTCTGTCTATCATACCCCCCACATACACATTGCCTACTGACCCTGATCATGTGTAAGTATTAGCTAAAGTTTCAATATAAACAAAGCGAAAGCAAATCTGTATTTATAACTTGTTTGGAAAATTATACTATTATTACAGTTTGCTTCTCTTATCCAATTATACAACCATAAATCACCCTCAGATCACCTCTTCGTCGTAACAGAGCAGGTTTACGAGCAATGGATGCCTTTGTCATAAAATTTATGACCGCGAGTTTTTATTATTTCCTGCGTTTGGCCTATAAAACTCAAGAGAGAAGTGGAACGATCGAAAAGAAGGGTTGTAGAGAAAAGATTGGGAAACGGGTCTTTCGCACTAAAAAAAATAGTACAAACTTTACCGTGGCTCATGTGCAGTTTTGTCATCCATGGGTAGATCTGGGGCTGCTCACTCCTCTCTCGTTGACTTGTGTTAGTGTGTTGTTTCAATCCTTGGGCGCTATCTTCATTCCTCAGACTTTCGTGGCTTTTGTTGACTCCGTATTTGGAGCTTTTCCCCGTCTCTCGGTTTCGTCCCAACACTGACGTGCTACCGTAGCTGTGCGCGCCCGCGTCCACGGTAGCGTTATTGGAGACCATAGTTATACGCGATCTGGATTGGAAAGTAGCTTCCGAGTTGCTATGCAGGCTAGTTTTGATCTCGTCCCTATCAACAGAGGTCGTCAGGACGGGACGAGGGTATAATCCTCTCGCATCAACACCCGTATAGCGACTGGACGCGCGTTCAGACTCATCAAAATTAAACATGGTATTGGAAGTTGCTTCCGCTGCTTGAGTGAAATTGGAGCTGTGAATAAAAGCGCTCATGTTGAACTCTTCAAATCTGCTGGCTGGAAGTAGCGCGCGTTCCGTCGCGTTTGCAGATCATGTTGTTGAGGCCATAGTCGCTTTTTAAGAGAAGAGCTTTTAACTGAAAATAGGTTAATCCAAGTTTTATAGCGGAAACAGGGTTTGGTATCTTTTTATTTCTTGATCGCCAAGTGCGCTGCCCACAAATGGGGTATTTGTATGGGATCACGTGCGTATGTTGGCCAGTCATAAATTGGCTTTGATACTCAATGGGGATATTGATGAATAGCCGAAACGTGTCCAGTAAAGTTTGAGCTGCTGGTTTCTGAGGACCAGGCAGAGTATGGTTAGCGCAAAAAGGGCACGACAGTAAGACAAGAGCGTCATCTGGTGTCTGGTATGGGGCAGGACGGGCATTGCGGTCACTGCTCCAAACTTCGCGTGTCCTTAATCAGATACTGGACCGACAGCATAAGCACAATTCAACATAATAATAATAATAATAATAATAATAATAATAATAATAATAATAATAATAATAATAATAATAATGCGAACAGATAGATTAACGACTCACAAAAGTGACAAGACATTTTGTTTCTGATGGTGTTCCTGTTAATTTAGCATTTATCAATTTGTATAATGTAGCCTAATCAATTTCTTTTCTTTATATTATATATATATATATATATATATATATATATATATATATATATATATATATATATATATATATATATATATATATATATATATATATTTTTTTTTTTTTTTTTATTAAACATGACAAAGTCAAAAGTTTTACAAATACTTTATTTGTGATACACAATTATGACAGTTCCCAAAATGGTGATAATTACAGGTGTACAAATCTAGGTGACAGGAATATCTATATTATTGGATTATGTCCCGAAGGACAAAGCGCTGTTCATTATTATTTGTTTCTTTTAAGCCTGGGGCCACTATTAAAGCAACTAAATACAATGAAGTAATAGTCACTGCAGTGCACTTGTTTATTTTGGTTATATACAGCGAGTTGGTCTGGTTCAAATGTGGACTCGAAATGGAACACATTAAACTGCTTCATCATTCTCTGAACTAAATGGAATGTGGATGTACAATTCTTTAAGTTTTTTGTGTGGGGTGATCAAAGGATTCACAGTGATGAATAGGTTGTGGGGGGATAAATATACTTGGAAATAACGTAGGAAATTAATACTCATTTGATATTTGCACAATATCATGAAGTGTAGCTTGCAGTGACAAAAACACTGCGGTCCAATGTGCCCTTTTTGGGGCTAAAATAAATTCTGAGACTCAATACTCCGTGGTCAAGATATAAGTGCGGCGGGACAGCCAACATGCAGTGAAGCCGCTCCCATGTTCATCTAGGTAGTTTAGGTAGTTGTTGGGTTTTGTTCGGTTATCTGATTCAGTAAATCCCTTAACTATTCCTTCTTCTTGTCGTCCTTCTCTTCCTCTGTTGCCTCAATGCGTTCCCCCTCCTGGGAACCGCCAGTCTGTTCACTTCCAGTCACTGTGGAAGTCAGGTTGCTCTCCTTCTTCCACTTCATACGCCGGTTCTGAAACCAAATTTTGATTTGGCGCTCCGTTAGACAAAGCGCATTTGCTATTTCGATACGTCTGCGCCTTGTCAAGTAGCGGTTGAAATGAAACTCCTTCTCCAACTCAAGCGTTTGATAACGAGAGTATATCTGACGTCCTCTGCGTCTGTCTGTCCCGTAACCTACTCCTGTGGGGTACACAAAGTCACAGCGCTCAGTTATTCCCATTCAAACTACAGCCACATCAAAGAACTGACTATATCTGTGAAGTTATGAAAACAGATTTAGTTCATTGTGATGTTTAATTTGGCTTAGGCATTTTATTTTACAGTGGCCTAATTTTACGTAAACTATTTTGACTTCATATTAACTATATTGCAATTACAGGAGTTTCTGAGATGATATGGTCAAAATCATTCTAAAATGCTATTTGTTTGCTCATGCAAAGACCCATCTACAAGTAGAGAGGACACAGTAATGTTTTATGGGGCCATAAAAACTAACTTACTCTCTTGGTAAGACATATCGTAAAACTGGCCCATTTTCTTAATTTATTTGTCGTAGTAAAACTCACCACTGTGTGAGTTCATTCGCTGCATCCACGGGTAGATCGGGATGTTGCTCTTCTGATCCTGGGCTCCTGCTCTTCCTTGATCCAGACTGTACTCTTGAGCAATGTGGCTTTGTGAATTAAGTCCCATGTTTGTCTGTCTGCAGCTGGGGAGCACGTCCTTGTCTTGAAGAAACATATTTGATCCATACTCATACTGTGCCCGGCCAGAGCCAAACACAACGTTGTCTTGTGGAGAGTAGAAAGGTGCATAGATCCGATTTTGAGACACTGCCGCGCCGTAAGACGAGAAATGTCTGACCGTGTCATAGGTGGTGGAGTTTAGAGGCACATTAGGTAAAACCTCTTGACCACCGGATAAATGGCATGAGAGCGACGGATTTGCGAAATAAGAATTCATACCTTGCTTTTAACCCTCACTCCAACTCTCCCCACTTCTTGTTCGATCTTTCTGGTGTAAATCCTCTTCCGTTTCTCTCACGCAACCACACCTTTCTCTAAAGTGTGCTTTCTCCCTTTATACTTCAACTAAAGTGATGCGAGGCTACTTTGAGGATTCAATATTATTAATTTCCAATCTCCGGTTAAGACGCACAAACCCGAGTGTTATAGTCGAGGCTTGGCTCGGTGAGAGACAATATGACAACGTCAGCTGACCAAGCTCAACCAATTGAGAGGCAGGAGTTGAAGAGAAACTGTAGCTTTTAGCTCAAAGCTTGAACATTAGTGCTAAATGCCGATAAACACGAAGTAGACTTGGACTGACACATCGGACAGATTGACACTGGGAAATTGCTTGTGTTACACACGTTTTGAAGGTTTTCAGAATGTTATTCAAAGTAGGCCTGTTTAATAGTTTCACATAATTAATGAGTAGGTTATTTCATCACAGGCACTCACAGTTGCAAATTATTCATTTCCTTTGTTATCTGTTGTGTGTAGTAGCACGTTTTGTATATTTCAGGCTGGCTTATATATTTAAACTTTTCTGACACATTGCACACACACTCACCTAATCGTCCTGCTCCTGATACGCACGTGTTGGCATTTATATTTTACATCAGCCCCATACATACTGTTTATTGTTTCTTAAGCGAATGAATGTTCTAACTTGTGAGCTGCTATTTCTGTTGACTGGGGGAGGTAGTAAGAATGCGTTTATGGTCTCTCTTCTGGGCAATAAACCAAGTGACGCTCCTCAACTCACAAACAACTATCTCTGCAGCAGTGCTTTTCGGCAACGCAAGTCGGAGTCTCTGGGCTGTTCCCAGTGTAATGCGCGCGGGAATAGACATAAAAGTGATCATTTCTGCTCCCATCCTCGTTAAATCCAAGCACTTATTATGTCTAGCCTCACGGACAGGCCTGCTGTGACGACTGTGCTGGTCAATGTGTGACGCGCGCTCAAGGTACAGTTTCTTCATTTAAAAGGGGCGCATGGGTTTTGGCTTTTTGAATGACCAATTATTTTCTTATTTGAATAAATGGTTGACCTGTCTCTCTAACAATTTATGAGAAAGGGCCGCAGTAATCTAAGAGTCGACTGACAAATAATACATTTATTACTTTCACAAAATCAACATGTTTACTTTGGTCCATCATATTTAAAGTCTGTGCGTCTTACATGGATCGCTGTTGTGTTTTATTCCATGGCACAGCAAACTATTTATGTAAGAAATGTCAAGCGGAGAAATACAACAACTCACTACTCTAAGTCACTGATTTGTTCAGTGAGTGAATAGTTTCGCAGTGCAACAGCAGCGTTGCTTCTGTTGTATGAGGTCTAACTGAATGGACCATAAAAAGAGACAGGAACAAAGAGGAGGAAGTGGCCGGTGCAATAAAAGCTTCCCATCACCTTATTCCCGACCATATGTGACATCCGCGCTCAGTTCAGACAAACACATGTAAACGTTCCAGAAAACTAAAATACAAAACTATGCTAGATATTACAGTCTATATAAGACTCAGTTTCCTACGCATCTCAGAAACCTGCGTTTTTATCGTATCTATCTTATCGTAAACTAAGTGGAGCAAGCAGACAACTTTTAAAGAATGTAAACTTATTTATGAAAGTCTATGAAAACAAAAATTACTTTAAAACTCTCTGAAATGTCATTTAAATATTTCAGTAAGTATAGAATTAATTATGCCTTTTACCCTTTTTAATTAATCAATACGAGGCGTGAAGTAAAATAAATAAATACATAAATATGCCCAGCCCACATGAAATTTTGCGCATATCTGTTTTTATTATGTGTTATTATACTATTTTTATTTAATTTAGATTAACAATTCTCTTAAAATTATTTGACAAATGCAGAGAGCTCAGTGGTGCGCTTTTACAACTTTTCCAAATGTTTCGCTTTCCCAAATGCTTAAGTGTCCAACAACATGAGGGCACACGGCGGACGGATCATAAAGACTGGAGCTGTAAATAAACTGGACTCTCAGCCCAAAATGTGGTCTAAGAGTGGCTGGAATGCTGCCGAGCTTCTACACTGCCAGTGTGCAGAAATAGAAAGGTCACTCTTTCTCCTCGTGTGTTTTATTGCGGGCCGTAAGGCAAATCACACGCGCGGCTTTTGATGAGTGAAGGCGTGAAGCCGTTTGGTCCAGTTTTCCAGGATTGTGGGTGAAATCATATGCAATGTTAGACAAGTCACGTAAGTGCATGGCAACAAATGCATAAGCTAAACTATTGAATGTATTCATAGTTTGTTTATTATTATTATTATTATTATTATTATTATTATTATTATTATTATTATTATTATTATTATTATTATTATTATTAGTGCTATCCGTCACTTCTTAGGTTAGATATAAATTAACGTGCAGAAGTTCTGGAAGAGGCCTGCAGCAAAGCAGGGGCCCATTTGGTCAGAAATCTATGCGTTCTCGGCGCTTTAACATTCTACGGCACAACATCGGTCAGGATTAGTTGTGTGGGATCTGTGAAATTTCTGCTTTAGTGTTCATGATTAAAAACACAGCTTATGCCTACTACTCGCTCACTGCAGCTTTTAACCTTACTTATAAGGAGTAATTCTTATAGTAACAATGTAAAGCCCTCTATAAGCGCTTTACCATCGTCGGCTGGTCCAATTAATGTCCGGAAGTGTTCGACTTTTTGCTCGTTAAGCACTCAGGAAGCTGTTGGTCAATGAGCGCATGTTGATCCACACATCATAAATTATGACCATTAGCGAGAACATTTCAGGCTGTCGAGATTTAAAAGTGAGCTTCTAAATGTGGTGATGCGGACAGCTTCATTACTTCATAAGTTTTCATGCCAGAGTTTGTCTGCTTTAACAACACAGACGCAGTGCTTCTCCATTTCATTTGAACCCATACAGCATACACTGAGTAGCAGCACTCTTTCTGTCTTTCTGCAGGCTATGCGGAGAGGAATAGCGAACTCCAGCCACTGCAGCAACACCACCAGACTTCCAACGCAACGCACGACTGGAATATTGAGACGGCTGCGCGTCAACAAGCTTTTTGGCGTGATTTCGACCATGGAAAGGCACTTGGAGTGTTTTACTGAACTGCAGCAGCCTGGTAAACACCTGAGCGCTCATCAAATGTAACCAACTCACCACAAACGCTTAGTCCCAGTGTGTACCGTAATCCTGTCTGTCTTGCCAAAAGCGTGCATTGCACATTCTTTGTGACTTTATAAGGAATATTCACCGACGTTATACTGATGCTAATGAGCTTTGACTGAACATCAATGACATCACATTGCTTGTAAGGCCTATTGATTAAGACAGTGAATCCTGTTGTGTGTGTTATAAACAAACCAAACAAAAGCTGGCCTTACTTTATATCAATTAAGTGCATGGCATAGACTACATGACGTCCAAACGAAAGATGCCTTTCTTTTTCTGAGACTGAAAATGATAATGACATTGAAATGGCATTAAGAGGGCACATTATTATCCGTAGGTCAATTTGGGCCATGTGAAAAGTGTTATAGCTGCATGTGAAAACCCAACATCCGGCTCCAAATAAATAAAACAAACGACCTGCTGCTTGTCATTGTCTCGTCCGCACTTATGTCATAGCAGCACCATTTTAGATCTATCAAGCTGCCTCTTCACATTGGAATAAGTGCGCACCACAGCAACAGAAAATAAACCCACTCGACCCAGCGCTGTGTATCACTTATCCCCAGACCTGTCTCAAGCCTGGGGCGGCCAGCTGACATCCGCAGTGGACCCCGGAGCTGCCGTAAACATCTAAGAGCCGACCCCCGCCCACTTCCACATAACAACAGAACCTGGTGGTCGCTAGGGGGCAGTGCTGCTAAACAAGCCTGTCCGCCTGTCACTTCCAACATAGCTTGATGATTGTATGAATGCTGTACATGCGCGTTCATCAAATAACTTCTGGGTGTTATTCAAAATGTTGGCTTGAATATGTGACAACAAATATGACAGATAATTAGACTACACCCACTGACAAGACCAGCTGCAAGACCAATCCATCCCAGGCCAATCAAAGACATTGGCACCGTCCTCAAAGTTCACTCTGCTTTGGCAAGCAATAAATAAAACAAATTTGCAAAAATTACAAAATGCACAGCCACAACTCCGTGTGCTCTCAGGTGCGGCATAGGCTACAGGTAATAGGAGATACCTACTGGGGGCTGGAGGCTGCAGGCTACAGGTCAGGTCACATACATCTGTGCATTTCTCTGAATTTCAATCACGTCATTCACTTTGCATCAGCCGGCTTTGAAAAGCACACAAATCACAGCAGATGAACATTGGATTGAAGGAGACTCTGCCTTACCTCCCCGTGGCACTTTGCTGAGCGCATGCAGCTGCTGAGCGAGGGGTCACGATGGTGTGTAGGGGACATCACCACGGCGCGCAAACGGTCTCACTTCTTAACGTAAGGCATTTCAAGGAGACGGAATATAGCAGTGTATTTGTTTTCTCACAGCCATCTCCTTCTCCCAGTCGCGGCTTAGCTTTATTGCCTCCGGGAATAAACGCAGAGGCGGCGACTGCCCCGAAGATCCCTCTGTCAGGAAGTCAGACATCATCGGTGATTATCACACGGAACCGCAATCAAACGCCGCTTTACTACAGATATTTCATAAACGCAAAAACGAGCTTACGCGCAGCAGCCTAGCCTGCCGCTGATACAAGGGAAGGACCAGGGAATAGACAACAGCATAAAGTTCATGTTCATAGAGCGTGTGCCACGTGGCTCGCCTCAGCCTATCACAGAGAGGATTCAGTCGTAAACTTTTATTACTCAGCTGTAAATTTCTCTCTTTAACAACCAGGAATGTTTGCACCCATCTTTTCACTTCTTTTCAAATGGACAAAAAAGTGCTACACAATAAGGAATGCAGAATTCCACATATCTCACACATTTAAAAACATATATGGCAGTTCCTTTATATAGTTTGCCACAGAAGCTGCTAGGCCAGATACAAAATAGATTTAAGTTAAATAAGAAGAGGGGCAGTAGGAAAACCGAGATTTTTGGAGGAGAGATTGAGGAAAATTCGGCGCTTATTTTCAAATTAGATCAAAAACTTAAGTCTTTCGCATCTAAAAACAACAAAAATCCTATGCTCATGATCTACATTGTGCATAATCATGCATTTATTAGCTCATATTAAAAAAAATGCATGTGGCATAATGTTGATAAAAATAGATAAAAGCGCAGGTCTTCATTTAAGTTCTAATGTGGCTAACATAGATATTTTAACAAATATCTACAGGGCAGTGAAATGAAAACAAAAATAATGTCCGCTTTTTAAATTTATTTTTCGTTTTTCTTTTTTATTATAAATATTTTTATTTTATCTAGCCACAAACACGGAGGAAACCACACGTATTTTCTTGCATATTCGACGACTTCAAAAAGACACAATACTAAATTGTGTCTCAAAAATAAGTGCGTAAAATATTATTCCTGCTCATGACATGAGACGCAAATAATTTCTTCGAAAAAATATCAAAAGGGGTTGTTACGCGTAGTCAACAGGCTAGGTACTTTAGTATAACATAATCCAACAAGGAAATTGTTCTGATCTGAAAATAGGTGTACATACTTGTGGCGATGCGCGGTGTCCTTGCAGGTCATGGTCTGCACTGGTCCCAGACTGACACAAATAGCCACCGAGCAGCGTCTTTACACCACCAATAAACTTTACAACAGCTACACTAAACTTTAATGGCAATGTCAGCCCCATGCTAAAAGTACACACACACTGGCCATATGAGGCTCAGAAGGTGTCATTTAGGAACACACTATACAGATTGGATGCGCCTTTACGCACAGACGCAAAAGAGACACAAGTGCAAAATAAAGCACATCAATAAAAAAAAGGGATATATTACAAGTCTGTTGAACAAGCCTGTGTGTCACACATCAGTTTATTTTCCGTCATACATTACAATAATCAAATCACTTCGAAGTGAAGTTATTTTAGGTCACAACGCAAAAAGTGCCACAAATTTCTAAACAAATAATCAGCAGTCAATGTCAATCAATTATTCATGCATATTCCACTGTTAAATTTCCCTCAGTGTTCTTAAAGAAGATAAAGACGTTTTTCTCATAAGTATTTGCATCTAGCGGTTGCTTACACACCAAATGCACATATTCAAATTAGTGAATGGACGGGTGGCGCTGACAGAAGAGATGCGATCCCCTGAATAATTGAGCATAAGCGCAGCCAACGCAACTAATAATGGAAAAAAGTCAATACAATGTTACAACCGAAGTGAAGTAAAACCAGCACCTTATCGGATAAAGTGAGTGTAAATAAACTGCTCGTAATCTTTTATTGTATTATTTTGTCAAGCCTCAGTTCAAATAACACTTCAACGGTCAGGACATGGCGTTTCTGTCGCAATAACCTAGAAGAAGATGCTCATGCCACCGTAGACGAGCAGTTGGGTTTATACTCTATTTTGCTGATTTTTATCTCTGTCTTAGCTGACAGATACAATTTTGTATAGTTGGCTGGATTTTAATCATTTTTCAATTTTGTGAATTGATTAAAGGCAGATAATGTTATATTCTAAAAAAAAAAAAAAAAAAAAAAAAAAAAAAAAAAAACTGCGTGGGTTTCAAAACACATAAATAGAAGAATAAATCCCCCTGAAAGCTTTGTGATTACTTAGTTTACTGTATCATGACACCACATCAGATGTTAGTCAACCCATACAGTCATTATTCTTCCCAGCATTTATTAAAAAGGCTAAGAGTCCTCCCTTAAGACAAGACGCCTATTATTACGGGGATGAATCAAACGCGTGTGCATGGCTTATAGTGTACACAGCGCACGCACTCAATACTTTCAAGAGAAAAACTGACATAGCTGCATTTGATTTGATCTCCCAGTTTGAAATATTTGCATGTTTTAATACTGCAACGGACAGTGACTGAAAAAGTGTATCAATGTGCTTGGGGCAATTTTTTTCAAGTTTTCTAACGAAATGTGTAAATGGTTAAAGATACAGTTTCCTGGTAACTTTGCGTGAATGTGTAATGATGTGTTGTATTATTTTGTTCTTGTATATTTGATGTCTGGGCTAATACCTGTGACACGTTATTGTAATATTAATAAAAAACAGAAATAAGAGTGAGCCATCCTGTTTATTTGTGATTTTACATCAACAACGGCGAGGACACACAATTCCGTCTTTCACGGGAGAAACACCAGGAAACGAGCATATTGTTAACATCAATATATAACAAGACGTACATAAAGGTTATATTCAGTGCAAAACTACTACGCTATATCACCAGCACATTAAAATAAAAACTCCCTTATGTTTAAAATATGTGTTATTGTAGCAGGTATAATCTTACACATCGCTAAATGTGCGTTATAGGCAGTTTTAGTTGTTGGGGAAACAGCTTAAATCTTTTCAGAGCGATGCCCAAGAAAGAGCGTGGAATAAAAATCAGTAAAGGGCATGGCTCTGAGTTTAGGTAGTGCCGAGTACAATCTTAAAAAGGGTTGGCTTGAAGCTAATTGTCTTCCCAAGACTTAAATTGTCTTCAACAAGTGTATATTGTATATGGGGTAAATGCTACACAGTTAACTTAATAGAATAATAGAAGGTTATATAACACTTTAAAATTAAAATCATATGAAATCTGTATATTCCAAAATCTCTATTGCAATTCTCCCAGGTTTAGGTAGCATCAGAGAATTTCAAACGATTGCATTTCCCTGGTAATCCTAGAGAAAGGAAGTCTGAGGAGCTAATGGCTATCTCTAGGCCATCCACATAAAACGATAAACAGTACAGTAACAATCAAGATTCAAACTGGTTTATACACAGGCTGTGCGCCGATGTGACAGTTGCTATGAAGTCTCAACAAACCGGGCCTACAATTCTGAAAGGCTACTCGGATATGACACTGTAAATGTAGGCTGGTATCTATTTACAAAACACGTTGGCGTTGGTCTTGATCTTATTTGGCTATGCGTTTTGACAAAAGCACATTTGTAAAAATAGTTTTGCCATTTCCCATCGAACATGCGTTATTTTACAGAGACACTATTGACAGATTCAAGTCTCCCAGAAAACCCAAATGTTATAATACTGGTCAAATTTGGACTTTTTATGACAGCAATATTGGTGGGATTTTCTCCCTTTTGACAAATTGAATGGGTGGTCATAAAGTTGACGCTCTGTGCCTTCCTCTGACTCTCGGTCTGTTTATGGGGCCTCTCTTTTCTCTCGTTTTCAGCCATATAACCATAAAAAGGACCATAAAATCATTCCTTGGCCTCTTCCTTTTCTTCCGCTTCTTTCTCTTCAGTTTCTTCCCCTTCACCGTCCTCGTTGCCCTCCTCTTCGGCCTCGGCTTCAGCTTCTCCTCTCTGGCCTGGAAACTTGTCTTTGTTGTTCTCCTTTTTCCACTTCATCCTCCTGTTTTGAAACCAGATCTTGACCTGACGCTCCGTGAGACTGAGGGCATGGGACACCTCGATCCGTCGCTTGCGCGTCAGGTAAGGGTTGAACAGAAACTCCTTCTCCAGTTCCAGAGTTTGGTAACGACTGTAGGTTTGCCTGCCGTTTCGTCTTCCTGGTGCTTAAATGAAATAAAGCCAGAGGTTAGCCCAGACTGACCATGGTCTTTCATAAAAGCCCGCTAATGGCTTAAAATTAATTCTGCATTTACTTTATTTCCCTCTTGGTGAATACTCGCACAGTTAGGCATTATTTTGCCTTAAGTGCTGACTCTAACTTATGGACATCAAACTTAAAGTGTATTTGTATTCTATTTTGAATTTTCACTATTGTTTTGTTTGTGTTTTTAAGGTACTGGTGCGTTAAAGTGATATCACTGTAGGTAAGAATCTCACAAAATGATGCCATGAAATCTCTAGAGACATGCTGGATACATGTTTCCAATGGTAAATCAAATGTCTGTAATATCTCGTCTTATAGATGCATTAGTTACATATGTATCATTACAGTTAAATTGTATGCAGCAGTGTGACCCTAAAAACCATGGAGAGATTTTGCGCCAACCAGGCTCTTATCCCCTATAGCAGGAGAATGAAATTGTCCATTGCACCTATGACGTTTGAAGTTTGAAGCAGATAATCCCTACATAAATGGAGTTACTTAAAATCTTCATCTGAAACCGAGTTCAGAGATGTTTTTGAATGTCACACTGATCCTTTGTCAGATTTCTGCAAAAACTGACCTCATTCGTTCTGTTAGTACCTGGACATGTGTGTGAAGCTACGTGATCTTAGTTTTCTGTCACTTTGCATGTGGAGGCTACCCATATTTTGGACGGACGTATCCATCTTCCATGTGTTGCTTTTACAGGTTGTGAAATGTCTTATGAGAACGATAATTGACTTCAAAGATCTGGAGTCATGAGCTATGTTCAATATTGAGCTTTTTGAAGACACTTTTCAAAGCAACGTCTCAGCTCTGTATGGGCATGTGCTGCAGAGTTACAGCAGCCTGCAGTACAGGTTCTATGTGCCTCATCATGTCCCTCTCACTTATACCATTTATAGTATATAGGAGTTAAACATTAACTTATTTAACACACACACTCTCACAGAAATAGTCACAGACGCTCGTACACGCACGTTGACACATACACGCAATAAACAGTGAAAGAAAATGAAATAATAACATTATTCTGACCGTGGGGTCTCATCCAAGGGAACATAAGACTGGGAGAGGAGTTTTGATTTAAGTGGCCTTGTCCTTCTCCGGGGTTAGAGCTGCCCGACGATTTACAGTCTGGGTATTGCGCTAGGCTTGCGTCTTGCTGGGTACCATAAAGCGTTTGCCTCGGAAGGGCTTCATATCCATAAAATTTCGTTGCATCTCCGTGGCAAGCCAGGGCGCAAGGATTTTGCTGGTATCCGGGGTTAGAGATCCCCGTAGTTCCGTGGTGGAAAAAGTCCTGCACGTGATGGGACGGGTGTTGGAAGCCCGGTGCGGCTGCTCCCGGTCCGTAAACCAGCGTGTGGCTGCGGGCAACGCTCTGTGGAAACCTGCAGTCATAGTAAGTTGGCTCCAATGACTCGCTCCCTTTGTACTTAGAAAAAAGAGGGTTGACAAAATAGGAGCTCATTTTGAGTTAGCATCAAGCACACACGCTTTCTTGCTGCAGATAATCTCCTTTAGGATGATGGCAGCCTTTTGTTTAGGGTCCCAACTCCTTCAGCGCACACAGGCAGACAAACCGGAACTAGAAGAAACGCTGCCCCTTTGGACAATCTACGGCAGCTCACTCTCTCAGAGCCGTTCCTCTCGGCGGATTTCACTGCGTGTTCCCCAGGTTGTGCAGTTGCTTATTGCATGTGCTTTGAATGTGCGTTAAAGCTAATGTCAAAGAAGCTGTCCTGCTCCCAGCCGGCACAAGTCCCAGACGTTGCTCTTTTTCTTTTTCCTTTTTTTTTAGCTTCCCACTCAACCACCCCCACCACGGTCGCCCCGTTCCTCACCCTCCCTCCTCACCCCCACCCCTTCATCTTTTCAGCGACCGGTCAGACGTGAGGCTTACGTATATCCACCTTGAGAGGAGTTGTAATCATAATCAACAAGCAAAAAGGCTTTAAATATGATTCATGCTATATGTTTCTAACTCAAGGCGTTGTTAAAATGAGATCAGATGAAAACTGACAGAACGCAATAATTGTTAAATGCATTAAAATGGGCCTTAGGTTTGCGCATTAGTTTCTTTTCATTTTCTGTTCTTTTTTAAACATTTTTGCTTGTGGTAATGCGTAATTTCACTAACTGCATTATCATATTAAAGATTAAGTAATCAAAGAAGAAAAAATCGTTAAAGAGAGCACACACAAGTGTACAGGTGCAGAGTGAAGCATTTCGCGCGTTGTAATCGAGAAAGGCCATTGCGCGCCGTAAAACACTCGCAAATATAAACACGACCTATGAATACTATGGTGCCACTTACTGACCCCGTAAAACCGGCGCGCATTAGCTGTAAATCTCCCCACGTGGACCAGTTCATAAAACGCTACACGTACACGGATGTTTAGCCACAACGACTTCTTACAGCCATTCTCTGGTGTTGAGAATTTGCCAGTGTGGTTTCAACGCAGTTACTGACTTTCTGTAGCCAATATCGTAAACTATAAAATGCTCGAATTTAAAAGTCTCTTACACTCAATAAATATGCAGTTTGCCACTGTCTTTTTGAAACTGTTAGAAAATAGTTTATTATTATTATTATTATTATTATTATTATTATTATTATTATTATTATGGTTATTATTATTATTATTATTACTATTATTATTATTATTATTATATGTTCCTGCTTTTTTGCTCTATTTTTTATTTTTATATTTGTTTAAACTGTACATAGATGTATACTTGCACTTGTAATTGCTGAATAAAAAAAAAAAAAAAAAACATGAATATGTAATTTAATTGTGCTTTTGTAATTAAAATATTCTCCTTCAATATTGTCATGCCTCGTTTGATTTTACTGGCTACTTCCATAATAATACTAATAATAATATATGGTAATTGCCTATATGAATAGCCAATATATACAGCCTATTATAATCTATCGCAATGCTGTAATATATATATATATATATATATATATATATATATATATATATATATATATATATATATATATATATATATATATATATATATATATGTACTCCTCTAACTTTTTGTAATCCAGGAGGCCCACATTTTATTCTACAAATGTGGTAATACTAATAAGTATAATTTTGTCAGTTAGAGATTATATACTTTTCATTTCATCCATGTCACTTGAGGGACAAAATCCCCTTGTAACACACTTCTTAGGCTTAAACCGTGGATCAACAGCGTCATCTAGTGTTCAAAGTTGTGTCAAACGAGTAGCGCTCCACCAATCAGAAACGACTGCAGTGTGGACACAAGTCAGCCCGTTTGTCTCAACAATGGTCTCTCTATTCCGTTTCTGTAAACATTACAAAGATAAAAGTGCAATAAAATTTCAGAATTTAATGTTTTCTATTTCGACTTTGATTTCTTCCTGCCATAAAGACAATCTCGATACCTGACATAATAGCGTGCTCGAGCATCTCTGTTATGCATATAAATATTGACTTGTCCCATAATTAATGCATGAGAGCTCTTATATGAAGCAGGGTAGTGCGGGGTTGCTGCTGGCCATCAGGAAAGGGTAAGCTAACTAAACATTGCGCATGGCTCTCCTTTGAACGAGTCAGCCACTTCCACCACCACCGGCCATTAAAACCATAAAGTAATTTAGGCCAGACGTCTAGCCAGTTAGTCGAGTTTGCTTTGTTCGTCTGCATTTGAGACAAACAGCCGTGCTCCAACAGGGGCTGTAAAACTGGCATTTTTGTCCGAGCAGTGCGGAAATGCTGGATTGGTCTTTTGAAACGACAGCATCCTGTCCGTATTGTTAACCACCACAAAAAGGCAATTTAGGTTGATCCCAGGAAACAAATGTGAGACATGAGGTGAATTGCATTCATAAACAACTGTTGTTGAAATTGTAGTTTTTATCATTGAGGTAGCATCGTTTAACAAGCTGCAACATACCAACATATGGGTCTATCATGTAAGGAAACTTAGTTGCAGAAGACTTAGATACAGATAGATTGTTTAGATGCTGGTCAAGCCGTTATAAATTGGATATAGTGACCGACACACACAACGTGCAACTGTCGAGTTTACACTGCGCTCTCTGTGTTACGTAAAACAGACAGCATCTCATGGTTTCTCTTTTATGGATCCTTGTGTTGATTGATGCATATGCTAATTCATGCAAATTATAAGATATAATTTAATTTATGAATAATGAATACTGAATAAAGAATGCATCCAAACAAAATGTTGTTTCGAGCGTTTTTTATCCAAATTTAGGAAAAAAACAAAAACAAAAAACGTATAATCTGTTTTTACATGTGTTTTCGGTCAAGATCAACGGACAATCCACTAATTTATTTAGTTTTTATGTTTGTATTTACACAAATCTATTTTCACACGTCTTTCTTATTCAGAATATGTTACAGTCAAAGAAAGCTGAAGCACAAATACAACAATAAGTATAACAAAATACAAGGCAACCGTGCGAGCGCAGGTGTTTGGATAAAACCCACCTGAGCAGCAACAAGGTATCAAAAAATGAAAGACACATACACGTAATAAATTATTGTGTTTATGAAATCTAAATGAATTCAAGTATTCTCTCCAAAGACAGTAGGCTATCCAAACAGTATTAATTATTATACAATAAAATACAAAGAAAATGACTGAGCCTATAGTCCTCTCTTTATTATTTCTATACATTTAATTATTTTAAGGACACGAAATTGTGCACTGAGAAAGACAAACAGCTTCAAAACAACTAAGAAGACTATAAATTGGGACAAAGTGATAAATACAAAGAGGAAACGCGGTGTTTTGGTTCATCTGTGCTGTCCATTCACTAGTGGTTCTACTTGTGATTTGACAAATATAGTCCTTTATTATTGTTCTTTACCCTCTCCCTTTTCTTTATTCATTTTCTTCATCTTCATTCGTCGGTTCTGAAACCAAATTTTGACCTGCCTCTCGGTCAGATTCAGGACCCTGGCGACTTCATAACGCCGATCCCTTGTAAGGTACATATTAAACAAAAATTCCTTTTCCAGTTCAAGAGTCTGGTATTTTGTATAAGGGCATCGCTTCTTCCTCGTCGATCGGGCGTGTATCCAATTTGCCACTGGATTGTCTGTAAAATTGAAAAAAAACAAAAAAACAAAAAAACTCATAAATGAGATAATTCCAAGAGTCACACGTTTATATAAGATAGACAGGCCTACAATTTTGTCAAAAGTGTGCTATCCTTCTATAGGCTAAATTAACAATATAGCAATATAATCTATTTCAAAGACTTAATTTTGCCAAAAAATAAAAATATATAGGCTAAACATTTTATGAATACGAAGACTATAAACATAATGGCTGAGCAAGAAAATGATCCAAACGTATAGACATTTTCATTCTTGTCCCCTTAACTTGTGAGTAACACCGTCGTAAAATACTCAATGTGCTTATTCACTTTATTGGCCCATAAAGTGGCCCGTAGTTCAAGCCTTTACAGGTCCGTGGTGAAAGTCTTCGAGTAAGTCTCTACATTCCTCAAGTTAGTTTTCAAGGATGGAGGGATTTTGGATAGACCTGAACGTAAGAGACAAGAAAACTAAGTTTCATTGTTATACACAGTTGGCTAAATTACTTTAACTTTAACGTGAATTTTATCATTGAGAATAAAACTGGACAGTTTATTTTTTCTGTAGGCTATATGGGCCCATAATAATAATAATAATAATAATAACAACAATAGCAACAATAATATTATTTTTAAAAAAGCAGCACAAAGTCAGTTTATAGTTTTCATGTGCCAAATGAAATGGCACTGGGTAAAACAAAATAAAATAAAATCCATTACAAAAAGAAACACATTTCGTGAGGAATCCTGATTCACATTAAATGGACAACCTCTGTGACAATCCCCCAAATTCAACGTCTTGTTGTATAGGTTTGAGTCCATGTTTACAACCCTGCCAGTTTTATAGCCCCAATATTATCCTGCTAGTAACCTTCCTAAAACTATTCCCATGCAGATGCGCTTCGCAGCTTAGCACAAAGGGGAAGGAGTAGCTTATCATTTCTGTCTCTGTCTGAATTTTCAAACATTTTGAAGCGAAAGACGCCTCAAACTCTCCCCGAGCAGCCCACCCGCCTGGATAGCACGACAAGAGCTTGAACTTACTCGGGTCTAGCTCCGGCTTGTCGTCTTTATGTTTTCCTGAAGTCAGAAACTCCGATTCGGGAGAGGGCACGTTCGGTTGGGTCTTGTCACGTATGTCAGTGGGGGAGCAGTACATATAATCCGTGAAGGTCCTTCCGCTGGAGCCAAGACACTCTCCGGCTCTGTGCTCCTGATAATGCCTGCTGTTCCCTGGATAGCCGTGGAAAGGCACTGCCCCGGAGATAGGCTCCAGCCATGAGCGCATGTACCGCGAGTCTGTGCTTAAGTGTGGCTGGTGACTGTAAGGATGGTAAACGACAGAGGACTGCGAGTGAACGGGAGCCCAGGAGCTGGAGAATACGGCTGGCTTTGGTGCGAAGCTGCAGGAAGGGAAGTCGGCACACTCCGGGACTAGGGTCGTCGGGCGAGAGCCAGCGGGATGAGAACCAGCCGCTGAAAATCGACTGGCAGCGAGAACATCCTCATTCTCATGGTTGATCAGTGAGTCCACATAATAATTTGTTATGGGACCCGTGGTCGACATGTCGATGCGTCCAGGCTCTTTTACATGCATCCGATTATTATATGGACTGTATGTGTACTTTTATCTAGCCATAGAACAATCAAGGCAGGTAATTATTTCTCTGCACTTCCCTGGCTGCGATTGGCTACCTCGGCAACACGTGATTATATTTACCCAGTCAAAAATTGTACAGTGGATCAATGCGCCACACAGCCAAGAATACAAATGCAAGTAATTCTAATAATGCGTAAGCTACTTTTTTGCTTATGCTTGTGGACTTGTTAGGCTAACTTCACAATGATTATTTTATAATGAAAAATAAAATTAAAAAAATCTTAAACAGCACAAAAGTAGGCGTTTCTTCGGACGAAGCACAGACTTGCGCGCAGTAAAAAGCGACAGAGGCACTATTTGATGTTGTAATCAATCTCTGTCTAGCAACTCCAACCAGCCCAATGTTATTCCTATGGATAGCTACTAACCCATTGCAGCAGCGGTCATTATGCAATACTTATCTTTATCAGCACGGAACATTTGATCAAATGAGCCTATGACATCTGATCTCTGCTGTTTAGCACTTAAAAGGAGACGGCTTTAACAAAGTCTAGCTACTGATGGGAGAGAACGACGCACATGATCCCTTCAACAACAATAAAGTTGAGGAAACAGACTGATGTAGGCTATTTCTTAAATTAATGCACAGATGGAAGAGAGATAAAGGTTCTTGACAAGCCGCCCACTGCAGCGAACAATGTTATGGCTAGTGGTGGTTCGTGTTTTTATGCCTATCAATAAATTTTAACGAGCACCATTTGATTGTTCATAAACGTGTCGTTAATAGGACTACAACCGACTTCTTCGTTTAACATAAAACCACCAAGACTGTGCGCACGAGAAACAATTCATATCAAGTGGAAGGGTCGAGGACAGGAAGCCCGGAGACTGCTGAGAGAAGGAGGTAAAAAGGTTGATTAAAGGACTAACCAGAATGCTTTTATAAGATATTGGATACTGTTACAGTGGCTCTAATGGCAGTAGCTCGCTGTTTTACACCAGGCCAGCTTGCCATTTGCCTGTGCCTGGGAAATAAACTCTAATCGCTCCAAATAAAGCAATATAATGTGCTGTGAGTAAGAAGAACCGTGCGAGGAGTGTGTCGCCTGTTACAATTACGTGTAGCCGAATATTAGCAGCTGACTGCTGAAATTTTAATGTGCGATAAGACACAGGAAAAGGGGGACAAGGTGGTGTCATCATCTTGTTGTGTTTTTACAAAATTTCCGTAAGTGCGAGTATGTTAAAGCGAACGCAGCACAGTGATAAAACAGATATAAGTGACTAAAACACATTGTTTGCTTACGTGGCTGTGAATGTCTATACATTTTGATTTTACATTTCGTATTTTGTGTATATTTAGGCCTTTATTATAGTGTATAAGTGTATACTATGCCTATTTTTACCCAGAGCTCCTAATGTGAAAAATTACCAGGTATCATACAGTATAACGTATATTTAAAATGCATTATCAGGTTTTTACCATTATAACCACGCTCAATGCGTATCTGGTGACGATAGACTGTTTTAAATTAAAATAATGTTTATTTATTTATTATTATTATTATTATTATTAATATCAAAAGTAATGTGAACGCCTAATAATATTTTCAAGACGCACAAGGTTTTCCCTCGTCTTTGCTCCTGGGTTCAGATTTAGCCATGACATTTTAACGGCCAGACGTCAGACCTTAACCTAAGAAACGCCAAAAGGTGTCCGGCTTATGGCAGGCTGGGGTCTGATTGCCTGGCCGGCCAAGAATACACACTTCCCCAATGTTTTACGAAGAGAGCTCCTGTGTACAGGATATACACAGAGAACCAGTTTGGATCTTCAGCAGTTCTGAAGGAAAATAAGATCAGAGATTATAGCCTAACTTGACGTATGGTAGCTTGAATAATAAAGTAGGCCTGTACATCCCTTTATTCTAATGGTGCCATTAAACCTGCAATGGAAGTGCTCAATGACCTTTATTACAAAAACATAAGGCAGTAAACGCTTTAAAGGGCCATGTGTCAGTGAGTCTAGACCTCTTCATTGCAATTAATAGCTGTAAGAACGGACTCTAAATTGATCAGTGTTGGTATCTGTACGTGAGGAAGTGTTGATGCTAATGACGTATGCACTATGGTTTGGAGAAATAAAATAAAACACACTTGATAAATATGCATTTATGTATTTTGTTTTTTAATTTTTGTGTGACTGATATATCAGCTTTGGGGGGTTGGAATAAAATTGTGTATCACTGAATGATGTCTTTTTGTGGTTAATCACGAGCGTGTAGGCTACAATACGTTAGTTTTATACATTCTGACATTTGACCATTATGCTCTCGAGGAGTACCACATCTTTTAATCCGTGTGTTTTGAGGATACGGTGGTGTGTGTGTGTGTGTGTGTGTGTGTGTACATCAGACTTAACCTTGTTTTTGCCAAGATTTTATTTTGTTTCGGAAAATGAAAAAAAGTCTATAACACTTTGTCACCATCAACAGACAAATGCGTGCACAAATTATTTATACAATAGACGCTATATTTGATATAGTTTATCTAGAAATTATAAATGGATCATAATCGTTCCGATGTGCGAGGTGCCCATGAAAAAAACTCATACAGAGAAATCTAAATCCTTCATTTACTACAAAATATATTTTACACATATGTTAAGAGTGGTTTCGTTTTTATTCCATGGCGATTCTTAAACGAGATTATTTACTTAATTACGGGGGGAGATTGAAGTATGCCTAAAAAAGATTAAAGTAATTTTGTTCTCGTTAATGAACGCGGAATAGGATTCACTTAAAATATCCACAAAAACGCATCGCGTACCATCACACGATCTCCAAGTGTTGTACATAATAAGATTAAAATGTTCTGGCAGAAGTATTGAACATTTGTGATATTCCTATAGTTTGCACATCTGAACTTTTATCTGGTCAGAAGAGCATAATTGCGTTATTACACCACGTAAAATGTTCCAGAGAATAGGCTGCCTCAATGTTTGGTTGCTGTCCGCACTACAAAGTGAAATTAATGGTTTTATGTGTATATGGTTTTAGGGCGAATCTTTGGAGCTCCCGGTGCTGTTTCCTGCGCTGTAAAGCCTTTGTCAGTGACGCATACCAAGGAAGATACTCATTCACCAAACTGAATGAAAGTGACTTTGGATTCCAGACTGTCTCTTCCAGATGCACTACCGCCATTAGGGGAGGGGGCAAGAGAATTAGCAGTTTGGTCACTATA